ACTGTTGACCCTCAGTGCTATCCATCCCTCCAAGAGTATCCATTGTGCTCAGTCCATCTCTTTTGGTGTCTGAAGTGGGATCAAGCAGTTTAAGGCACAGGATTTTTCCCCCCACATTCCTTCATTGTCTGAGCCATGCAGAAAAATAGGAGTGGCAAACAAGCAAAAGGAGATAGTCAAAACCAACCAGTTGGAGCAGATGGACCCATATGACCCATTTCTCTCTCCTCCATCTTATTCATGGTTTATCAGCCAAACTCAACAGAATACAAATTAAAATAAATCTCGAAAAAAACAGTGTAAACCAAAATGGGAGCACTTATTTTAATATAAATGTGATAAATGATTTCCAAATTTAAAAAATTGCTCTGTAAATTAAATGTATATATAAACAAACTGAATGATGTCTTCATGCAAAAGCATCCTTCACAGTTCATCAGGAGGCATATTTATCAGAAGTTGAGTGATCATAGCTTCTATATGATTTAAAAAAAAATCTTTTTTATTGAATGTAGACAAGGTTAAACCTCTCATCTGTTATGTTCGAAGTCGGAATTCAGGGATTATAGAACCTGGTAAAGACCCGATCTGTTTTATTTTGTGCAGAATATCATGAAACTATTCAAGAACTCTGGAGGTATATTAGGATGCCTCCAAACAGGCAGCCTGCTGTTGTTTTCCAGCTTTCTGAATGAACATCCAGCTGCTGTCTGAGGATGGCTCTCTAGACACTGGAAACAAAAGCCGGAGAACAAAGAACGTCTGCTCTGAACACAAGGGGACCAACAGGAGACACTGATATGGGTCAGAGACGCTGAATCCTCACAGGGACAGACTCTGGGATGGACACAGGGTCAGACAGGGAATTAAATGGGACAAAAAAACAAAATGAACATCAAGATAAAGATGGAGTTAAACATTGGACACCCAGGACCAATACAGAGATAAACATGGGACAGACATAACTGGACAAAACCAAGGGAAAATGGTATAAAAGCAGGAATAAACACAACAACAGACAAACCTGGAGGTGGAAAAGTCAAACAAAACAATTGTTGGGCAGAATAAGGTCAAAATGGGATAAACATGAGGGAAATAGGACAAAAACAGGAGAATCAAAAGACAAACATGAGGTCAAAACATGGAAAAAGGGAAAAACACGAGACAAACAGGATAAATCCTGGGAAAATCCTATTACCAACACAGTGTTAAACTGGAACCAGTCCTGGTCGATCATGGGGGGAAGACGGGAGGTCATTTTCACCCATGGATAAATTCATATTTGTAATTTGTATAGAAGATCTCAGAGTTCCGATAATAGATGGAGCTGCTTCACATTGGTGTAAAGGGGCTCCATGGTCCTGAAGGACATTTGAACACGTCAACCTGGAAATATTTCTGGCCTGAAGGCAAAGTGGATCCAAATTTCCAGAAAAAAGAAAAAAAAGAGAGAGATGGTGGAATTTTTTTTTTTTTTTTTTGGAAGCATACATAGCCTAATTAATATATTCTATTAACCTAAAGCAATAGGCATGATATGATTGTTACAGGTTACAGGTAAGCAGGTCATTGACC